GTTGAAACCACGCCGCCTTCCCTCCTCGAGGGGGTCTGGGGAGTCCAGGCGCTGCGCACCAAAGCCGAAGTCGCTGTAGGGGAGCCCTTGTCGAAGGCACTCGGCCCGCCCGGCGTGCCAGAGCTTGGACTTCGCGATAATGTAGTCCCGCATCGCGCGATTCCGACGGTACGCCGCCTGAATGTAGGACACCGCGTACCATTCGGCGAGGGTGTGTCTACTCGTAGGCGCACTGGGTTCCACGTACCGGAGCTCCGGGGCGGTTTGCAAGGGCGGTTTGGCGGGGCGCCAGGAAACTTCAGGGGTCTCTCCCAGACTCAAATCTGTGGGAACGGACATCGACAGCGCTCGACGGGCAAGTGGAAAGAGGACTGCGTAATAATGGACGTACCCATTGTGCAAAGGGATGTCGTATTCTCGCAGTAAGCGTAGCAGTTCGGCACGATTGTGGAGGTCACGGATGCCGAGCGGAGGGTGTAGCTCTTGCAAAATTTTTGGTATTTTGGTTGCGGGCAGGGTCAGCCTCGCATTGGGGTCGCGACGGGACCACAGCTCACAGAAATAATAGAGGTCCTTAAGCCGAGTGAAGGTGTCGCGCATACGAACAGCAGAAATGTAGTGGTCTATAATCACCGCGATGTAGAGCGAACCGATCATTAAAAAGAAGAGGACCACAATAGCGATGTAATACAGAGGCGCGAAGTTGGTCGGGCCGCAGCGGTGGTCTGATTTGCCGCAGTAGTTGCCGCGGTCGAGGCTGGCACGCAACATGGTGGCCCAATCTTGAAGGGTCGATAGACGGAACACCATGATGAGAGAGTTCACGAAGGTCATGAAATTATCATACTTTCCGTCAATATAGCCGGCATATGGGACGATATAGCCCAAAAAGTGCAGGCCAACAATGGCAAACACATACACAGAAAACATGTATATCATTGTAACGTTGATGAGGCTGGGTACAGAAGCTTGCAGAACCTCGCCGAGAAGCATTAAGTGGGTTCTGGAGCACGTGGCGAGGTTAAACAATCGAAGAACGCGGAATAAACGGAGCAAACGCAGCACGTTGACATCAAACGGCATATGATGGGAACGGGTGGAGTTAAGAATAAACTGAATGTAAGATAAAAATACAACTAGTAGATCCCAGCAGTACGTCCAGCGACTGAAGAAGCGCAGGCCGTAGGCAATGAGCCGCATCAGCACCTCAATCGTGAAAATTACGACAAATATCGCATTAAATGCGGTAAGCGTTGCCTTTTGCGCATCGGCCATGTGGTACCATTGAAGTGCCATCGTGAGCATATTCAACCAGAGAATAAACGACATAAAAAGCTCAAATCTCTGGCTACTTAAGATACGATGGAAGAAGCGCGGTATGGTCGAGGTAGTGGGTATCATGCGAATCTTAGGCTTGATGCGTAAAAGTCCTTCTTCAATTCGAAACCATAGCTGATTTCCAAACTTCATGCCCCCGGTAGTGTTTTTGGAGACAAAATAGGTGTAAATCATTGCCGAGATGAAGAACGTAATTAGGAAGAAGTGGGATATATAGTAGTAGGCCACGAAGACGAGACCCTTGTATGGGTGCCTATTCACCACTGGTGCTAATTCTGTCGACCAAGAATCCACCGCATTGTAAATGACATTAAGCCACTCTGCACCCGTACTGACCTCAAATGTGGTAAGTAGGCTCTCGTAGAAGTTATCGAAATTCCTGGTAGCAGGTTTCCACTGAAACCCATTCTCCACACACTCTTTGTAGCTGGTAATGTTGACATTGCTGCATGTATTCATCTTGTTCATAAACATAGAAGTAAAGATTATGGCCCACACAGCATAGTTCATCAGCATGGCAAGGCATATGTTGACCAAAATAGGTATGCAGTTCCAGAGTGTGCGAGCAATCGGGATCATGCTCGGATTCCCCGTCCAGTACTGCAGCGGACCAAGAATACGAAAGCAGCGCAAGACTTTGAGATAGCGCAAAAAGACCCCGCGCGAAAACCAAGATACTAGCGAAGAAATCACAATAAAACAGTCAAAGATATTCCATAAGTGCCAGAAGTAGGCACGCCCTATGGGCACAACGACACCCATACTCACCCATTTAAGTAGCATCTCGGCCGCGAAAATCAAGGTGAAGATATCGTCCAGAAGATGCAGAAATTTATACTTACCACTGTTGTAGTCTCCCCC